ACACTCTGGATCCGAGAAGCGTGTTATCTGGCCGACTGTATCTTGGCCTCGATTTTTTGTACACGCCGCTTGGCTTTCTCGACCCCGTCATTGGTTGACCTCTCACGGGGGACGAGTTGCTTCGCGGCGTTGTACACGGCACAGTTGATTTGCCAGATGTCTGCGTCTTCCGGAATTTCCTCATCGATGACCGCGTCCATTCTAGCCAGGTCTTGTGGCTTTAGGTTAGCCCTGGTGTTAAGGCTAACCCTTGTCCTTAAGTCTACATCGGCGAACTCTAATGGATGTTCCCCATCAGCTGGTAATTGCCTCGGTGGAACTGCGGCTGGCAGTTCTTCCAGCTGACGGGGTGCCCTTACGTAACCTGTCCTGAGCAAGAAGGATACTTGATCTCTCAGGTGTTGTTGAGAGAAGGCGCAATGATCTGGATGCATTTCGCACCAAAGTGCATGCAATCGCGCCATGTATCCTCTTAGCTCAGGTTCGCTACTCTCGCGGCAGGTCAGCAAGTCATCCTTTAGTTCCCTCGTCCACTTAAAGCGTCCATGTACAATTGCGGTGTTGTCATCGTTTGGACCGTCCGGTAAGGCCCCTCCCATCTGTCCTTGACCTCCATCCGACTGAGGTCGATTGTGAGGGGCCCTTCTTAGGTTGTAAGGAACCCATAGCAGTAAGAGTACCAAGGTGGTTAGCCCTAGTACTCCCGGCCGGTATTAGTCAGGCAGAGTTGCCTCTGCCTGTCCAGGGTGCACCAACGTGGAGGTTGCCGGTCCTTTGCACCCCTTATTATTATTATTATTATTATTATTTTTTCGGTTTCCCGATGCCGGTCAGTCCTCCCGTGGCCTCCGACGCCTCACGAGAGTCGCGCCGGCGCATCAACTACAGTCATTTCCCACATCCCGCAGGGTTAGTGACTGTAGATACCAGAATCGTGTGCCCTAAGCAGACGGAGAGAACCCAGAATGACCGCCTTCTGCATTTGACCTGCCAGCCACTCGGCTGGTTTTTGGCAGGCCGGTATGATCTTCAGTTCCGAGAGCAGCGTAGGCTTTATCCCTCCGAGTACACCGATAATAAGGACGACCATTTTGACCGAGTAGCCTGGGTACAGCATTTGGAGCTCGTACCAGAGATCGCGATATTTGGTCCGTTTCTCCTCCTCCTTCAAGGTGATGTTTTTCTCCGCAGGTGCCGAGAACTCGATGACATACATCACCTTGAGTTGATGGTCGAGGAGGACTATGTCAGGCTTGTTGGCTTGGATTAGCCTGACAGTCGGGAACGAGTAGTTCCAGCAAATCCGGCATTTCTCGTTCTCGACAACGGACTCAATATCTCCAGGGACGTAAGGCAGCACTGGTGTCTGGTCTACCCCGTACGAGTGCCTTAGATGGTAGTATAGCACTCGTAAGGCCGCGTTATGTCGGTGGATGTAGGCCAAAATCGCATATATGGGGCATGCAGAAAGTAAATGCATGAGCGATTCCGGCGCCTGATGGCAGGTCCTGCAGTTGATATCAGGAACCTCTACACGCCACACGCGGCTACGGTAGACCAAGGTGTTGATAACACCATCTTGGCAGGCCATAATGAATCCCTCGGTCTCCGACTTAAGCCCTGCTGACCTTAGAAAGGCGAAGGTCAGCCTGGTCGATAAACCCAGTGTTTCGATGTTCTTATAGAAGACACCATGCTGGGGTTTATCGACGTGCTGCCGAAACAGATTTTCCTGTTCGGCAGCTCTAATTCGGGCTTTCAGACGATTTGGCTGAAGTTCGGTGACTGACTCAACATCAACACCTCGCCGGCCTCCTCGCCTGATGTCAAATGCGAGACCGAGTTCATCTGCTGCTCTTTTTGCTGCCTTAAACAATCCTGCTCCCACTCCTACAGTTTCATGATGTTTCACAAAGCGCAAGAGGTGATCTGAGCTCCTGAGGATGTTACATGCCATACTCAGTACTACTCTGCCATGCGTACACTCCACGCTCAAGAGTCCTCGGCCCCCCCCCGTTGACTTGGGAGGTACACACGAGGAACGGACGATCTAGGATGAATACTTCTGTGAATATTCATCATCTTGCGGGTATCTCTGTCTAATTGGCGCAGCTCATCTACCCTCCACTTTACTACTCCGAAGGAGTAGAGCAGAATCGGAACGGCAAACAAGGGGTGCTTTTGCGCGCGTTTTGCCCTCATAAACGTAGATGGTTGGTCCACCCGTTTTCGAGGGGGTGGGGGTGAATTTTGAAATAAACGTTTTTTCGAAAAAGCGGTCTCCCCGAGTACCGTATGGGACGACTAGACGAGTACGACGCCGTCGAGATCGCTTCGATAGCTCTTCCCGTCGCCGAGATATAAGCCCCGGAAAATTTCCCCCCCCTTGCCGCCCAATGAGCAACAAGAGTAGCCTTAACCGAGCCTCCGAGCCCCGCTTTGACCCCGGGGGGCCATGGGGACGACACGAGATGAAAAAACATCCATCTCGACCCACCCCCCACCATCGGGGTGCGTGGAGGGGGTAGCTACATCCCCCGAATAGAGACGAGGGGGGTCGCGACCCCCACATGGGACAGGATAATGACCGGGCCTACAAAAAAGTATAGGGGTGAGATACGCGTACGACGCTCCGTTTGGCCTGTACAGGGGTCAAATCGATCGCTTTTTCGCGTTTTTTTTTCAAACGGTCGCGAAATATGATAAATATGCGAATTAAGGAACGCGCTTTCGTGGGGGGCCGTCGTTCGGCGGGGGGATTTCGGGAAAAAATCGAGGGGGGACTGGGGGTCGGGGAGGGGGGGGCTAATTTTTGGAAAACGCCTTTTCGGCAAATTCGCGCACGGCGCATCGTTCTACGTCGCGAACGACGCGAAAAAAGTCTTATGACCGGATTCGATCCGACGCGTCGTAACGGCGCGGCGATCGTCGACGCGCCGAAAACGTTCGATCGTCCGGAAAAAATAGTAACCATGCGGATTAAGGAACGCGCTTCCGGGGGGGGGACCGTCGTTGGGCAAGAGGTTTTTGGAAAAATATCGAGGGGGCACTAGGGGGTCGGGGAGGGGGTTTAATTCCGAATATCGCATTTTCGGCAAATTCGCGCGCGGCGCGGCGTTCTACGTCGCTAATGGGGAACACGACGTTATTTTTAAAATCCCGCTGGACGCGCGACGAACTTTTTACGTAAAATGGGTGCATTTGCACACATTTTGCCCTTATAAAGTTACATGGTTTGTCTACCCGTTTTCGCGGGGGTGGAGGGTGAATTTTGAAATAATCATTTTTTCGAAAAAAGTGGTCGCCCCGAGTTCCGTATGGGACGACTAGACGAGTACAACGCCGTTGAGATCGCCTCGATAGCTCTTCTCGTCGCCGAGATATAAACCCTGGAAAATCCCTCCCCCTTGCCGCCCAATATGCAACAAGAGTAGCCTACACCGAGCCTCCGAGCCCCGTTTTCACCCCGTAGGGGGCTATGAGGGCGACACAACATGAAGAAACTTCCATCTCGACCCACCCCCCACCATTGGGGTGCGTGGAGGGGGGTGCTACATCCCCCGAGTAGAGACGAGGGGGATCACGACCCCCCAAATGGTAAAGGACAAAGACTAGGCCTACAAAAAAGTATAGGGGTGCAAAACGCGTACGACGCTCCGTTCGGCCTGTACAGGTACCAAATCGATCGCTTTTTCGCGTTTTTTTTTCAAACGGTCGGGAAATATGGTAAATATGCAAATTAAGGAACGCGCTTTCGTGGGGGGCGTCGTTCGGCGGGGGGCTTTGGGGGAAAATCGTAGGGGGTCGGGGAGGGGGGTAATTTCCGAATGCGCCCTTTTGGCAAATTCGCGTGCGCCGTGTCATTCTACGTCGCCAACGGCGCAGAAAACTCTTATGACCAGATTCGATCCGACGCATCGTAGCGGCGTGGCGGCCGCCGACGCGCCGAAAATGTTCGATCGTGCGAAATTTCCAATTTTAAACGGAATATATTGTGTACTTTAATCATGTAGCAATATTTATATTTTTCGGCAATTATTAATAAAATTTTTAACGAAAAAAAAAACGGAGTGTGTACGGATCAAACCATCGATCCCTTGATTGTAAAGCCAATTCCAATTTAAAAGATTTATTAAACATTTAATTACATAACAGAAAACTTAACTAGGACGCCACACTCGGCGTTTACAGATAAATATAAATATTTACAGCATACACAAAGTGTAGATAGCCAATCGGCTTTACATAATACTCGCCCGGAATAAATTCCGGGCGAAAAGCAACATTTTAGTTTTCCTCCGGTGTCGGAGGGAGCCTAATCAGCTGGCCAGGTGATTGGGCCCGAAATGGCTAGGGTGGGTCCTTTTTATTGTTGGGTGGAGCAGAACGTTTTCCTAGAATAACGTGAAAATAAAAATTAAAAACTTGCACAGGGCATAGTAATAATTAAAAGCAGAATAAATAATACAGAAATCGTTAAAACCAGTGCTTTATCCGCTAGACCAGTAACCAGTTACTTACTGTTCTTGGTATAGACAGCATTTTCTATTTATCGGTTGATTTGCTTACAAAGATTTTGGGTAAAAAGAAATAACAAATGTACGTCATTTATTTCTTGGCTAATAAGCTATAATACATTTAATTATGAACGAATACACTATTTATTTTGCGGCTGAAATTTTTTCTGCAACAATGTACAAAATGTTTTGCATTCTAAAAGTTCCTATGAATGCTTTCTAAGCATTTCAGAAGGGTTTCCCGTTAAACGATATTTGCTACCTGTGATTTATAGAAGTAACGCAAACATTATTATAACAATAAAATGATATCGGGTTGTCCATGTAAGAAAAATGTAAATTGTTGCCTAAACTTTGCATATTCCATGTGGCGATTTCATCATTACGTATGTATGTAAAAAAAATTGCATATTGATACATTAAATAAATACATACATTTCGTTTCAAATTTGAACGTAAATAAAACAAAATACAAAAAAAAAATTGCTCTGGGATGGATTCGAACCATCGAAATTCGGTACCGAGCCAATAGCTATAAGCAGCGCTTTACCCACTCGGCTACCATGCCCGACCGGACTACCACCTTATAATTACCTAGAAAAGGAGCATAGATAAATCAGATCGTAATAAATAAACAATAACAGAAAAAAAAACCATAACACCTACACCTTACAATTTTACCTTTTCCAATGCACATAAATTTATTTCAGGAGTAACACATTCTTTCAGTTGCTCATAACTCGGGAAATTCAAAATGTGCTGCTGTCACCTACTGACCAGTAGGGGGAGTTCGGGCCTACCAATTTCCAATTTAAAACGGAATGTATTGTGTCCTTTAATCGTGTAGCGATATTTATATTTTTCGACAATTATTAATAAAGTTTTTAACGAAAAAAAAAAAACGGAGTGCGTAGGGATCGAACCATCGATCCCTTCATTGTAAAGCCAGTGCTTTACCCTCTAGACCACTAACCAGTTACTTATTGTTCTTAGTATAGACAGCGTTTTCTATTTATCGGATAATTTGGTTACAAGAAATTTGGGTAAAAACAAATAACAAATGTACGTCATTTATTTCTTGGCTAATAAGCTATAATACATTTAATTATGAACGAATACATTATTTATTTTGCGTCTGAAATTTTTTCTGCAACTACGTACAAAATGTTTTGCATTGTAAAAGTTTCAGTGAATGCTTTCCAAGCATTTCAGAAGGGTTTCCTGTTAATCGATTTTTGCTACCTGCGATTTATAGAAGTAACGCAAAGATTATTATAACAATAAAATGATATCGGGTGGTCCATGTAAGAAAAATGTAAATTGTTGCCTAAACTTTGCATATTCCATGTGGCGATTTCATCATTACGTATGTATGTAATAAAAATAGAATATTGATACATTAAACAAATTCGTATATTTCGTATCAAATTTGAACGGAAATGAAATAAAAAAAATTCTCGCTCCGGGATGTATTCGAACCATCGATATTCGGTACCGAGGCAAAAGCTATTACCAATTCCAATTCCAATTTAAGAAGATTTATTTCATATTTATATACATTGCATAAACTTAATTAAATGCCTTATTCCGGCTCACAATAAACATAAAAATTACATTCACAATAAGCACAAAATAATAATAGCCAATCGGCTTTACAGAGTGTACTCGCCCTAGACGAGTCCAGGGCGAAAAGCAGAGGGTCGATGTTCCGCCTGTGTCGGCGGGTCCCCGATCATCCGGCCTGGTGGTGGGCCCGATGTGGCTGGTAGCATCTTTTTGTTGTTTGATGTAGGTCGAACGCTTATTCGGTACCGAGGCAAAAGCTATTACCGCTTTATCCACTCGGCTACCATGCTCCACTAGGTTATCGTGGAACAATTACGTAGAAAAGGAGTAGGTACTACAGATAAATCGGATCGTAACAAATAAACAATAATAGTAAAAAAAACCAACACTTTCACCTTACAATTTCACCTTTTCCAATGTACATCTCTTTATTTCAGGAGTAACATATTCTTTCAGTTGCTCATAACTCGGAAAATTCAAAATGTGCTGCTGCCACCTACTGACTGGTAGGGGGAGTTCGGGCCTACCAATTTACAATTTAAAATGGAATATATTGTGTCCTTCAATCGTGTAGCAATATTTACATTTTTCGGCAATTATTAATAAAGTTTTTTACGAAAAAAAAAACCGGAGTGCGTAGGGATCGAACCATCGATCCCTTGATTAAAAAGCCAATTCCAATTCCAATTTAAAATCATTTATTTACATTTAAAATTTAACAGAAGAAGTGTTTTCACATACTAAATATTACACACAAAAACATAAAAATAGCAAGGTAAGATATTGTGCTTTACCCGCTAGACCACTAACCATTTACCATTTAATGCATTTACTGACTATTAGTATTTCACAATGCCACTTCTTAATTAAACGTATTTCATTATAGTATTTGACAATATATATACAGGGTGTTTACAAACTTGGGAATTATTTTTTGAGGATAAGTACATCTTGATATAATAAATCGTATAGTGCATAAGAAAACCTTAAATATTAGAAAAAAATAACTGACCTTTCTCAACAAAAAAGTGCTAACATGTTGAGAACTGCTGGAATCGAAGGTGAATGTCCTGTCCCAATACACAGCATATTTCACAATAACTGTTCCATGTTGCCATATCCTTCATCACACAAAACTTTGTTCACCAATATCCATTTGGCATGATGACGGTCTCGGATGCTAGGGCCAGGCAGGACTATTGCCTTTTTACCCTAGTCATCGCTGTAGACCTGGACCGGCCTTGTGCAGGGCGGGTTAGCTTACATTACGAACGGCCCCACTCACAAATGTGAGCGGTGCCGAAGATTTTGGCCAACCTCCCTGGGTCCTGGCTGATGAACCCTGCTGGCTAGGGCCTCTTCTGGCGCTCTTCTGTCTTCGTCTTCTTTCTTCGCCAGCTTGTCACCCCCCGAGGGTAGTCATCTATCTGTCAGGGACTGTGTGGATATTCTGTGACTTGGGATTGACTGCCGGTACACAAAGTGTCAATTAACACATTGTCATCTGGATCATCGGACAAGGTGAGGATGAACTGTGTAGCTCTAGGAGGTGAAGGCCTAAGTGCTTTCTTAGCACTTTCGTACTTCACAGAGCCAGGGGGACAACGGGCACTGGTCGGTTTACTGACCGGCGCCCGCAAGGTTTGTGGGAGGGTGGTTGGTCGTGTCATGTCTTTTCCGTGGGTTTGGTCCATCTGTAAGGAAAGGATTCGTTATACTTACCCGTTATCCAGTAACTGTACCTTCGGCCTCTTGTGTCTCGGTGCGTCGGCCGGATCATAGGAAGTGGCCTCCCTGATCAGCGGGTTCCTGTGCTCCTCAGCTAAGGTGTACAGTTTCTTCGCTCTTTCCCGGATGATTTCGGTGACTGGTGTGTACTCCAGGTCCCTGAAGATGACAGCGTTTCTAACATACCATGGTGCGCCCACCGCTGTCCTGATGGCCACGTTTTTCACGGCTTGGATCTTCTTCAGATAGGTCTTCGCTTGGTATCCCCATGCTACGGAGGCGTAGGTCAGCTGTGGTCTGATGAGTGCTTTGACTAGCAGAAGCTTGTTCCTCAGACTGAGCCAGCTCTGGTTCCCTACCATCGGGTAGATGAGAGCTCTTGTCCGCTTGGCCTTTACCATGATGGCTTCGGTGTTCTGTCTCCATGTCAGGCCTTTATCCATGATTACGCCAAGGTACTTGACGGAATCGTGCCATTGGATGTCCTCGCCGAACATGGAGACGTGTTCTGTGGGGGTTTCCTTGCGTCCTTTCCTGAAGAGATCGTCTGGCTTTTCTCCGCGTTGACTGCGACTTTCCACTTGATACATCATTCTTCCAGAAGAGAGGCTGCCTCTTGGAGTCTTCTGGTGGCTGTTCTCGCTCTCCAGGATCTAGCCGTGACGGCCGGGTCGTCCGCGTAGAGTGCCATTGCGGTGCCTTCGGCCCTTGGGAGATCAGAGGTGAAGACAGCGAACAGATGGGGTGACAGCACAGAGCCTTAGGGGACTCCGGCTTCCATCGGTCGATACGTGGACACACAGTCCCTGATCTTCACTCGCATCTGTCTCCCGTGCAGGTATGATCTAACTAGTTTGACGAGTGCAATGGGATAACCCATACTCATCATTTTAGCTAGTAGACCATCGTGCCAGACCCTGTCGAAAGCCTTCGCAACGTCCAGGAGTAGTGCCACCGTAACCTGTCTTTGGTTGAAACCTTTGGTGACTTCTTCGGTGATCCTGATCACTTGGAGTTCCGTACTATGTCCTGTCCTGTACGCGAACTGTTCATCCGGGATGATTTGGAGCTCTTCGGTTTCCTCTTCTATTCTTCTCAAGATGACGCGCTCGGCTACCTTGCTCACAGTTGAAAGTAGGCTGATGGGCCTGTAAGAGGAGGGAAAGATTAGTTCCTTACCTGGCTTCGGGATGACTATGACGTCGGCCTTCTTCCACCTGTCCGGAAAGTATCTGAGCCTCAAGATCCCGTTGATGATATTCACCAGGGCTGCCACCCCTTTCCTGGGTAGCTTTTTGAGGGCGATATTTCCGATCTTATCACATCCAGGAGCTTTCCTCGGCTTTAAGCTCCTTAGAATCTCCTTGACCTCCTCTGGAGTAGTCGGACGGATGTGATCATCGTCTGGCAGGCGGAGCATCCGACGCACTCTGCGTTCCACGTCATCAACCCAGTCCTCGTCCTCATCATCGAGTAGGTTTTCCCTACACTGCAGTTCCAAGCTGTCCGCGAATGCTTCGGCTTTTTCCTGGCAAGTGTAGACAATCCCATTCTCTCCGTGGATTGGGGACATCGGTTTCGGCCTGTTCCGCAGAGCACGCTGGGTGTTCCAGATGCTCCTGACCTGTGGGTCCAGCGATTCCAGGTGACGCTGCCATCCTTCTTGACGGTGGTCCTGGATTCAATCCTGGGAATATGTGCAATGTTCCTTTGCAGTGCTGCACGGAACAATTCCCAGTCTGTCCTCCTTTTCACGAAGGTCTCAGTGTCCACATCATCCTTCTCTCCTAGGTCCAAGAAGATCGGATTATGCTCGGTGGAACCTTCCGTCCTGGTAGAGATTTCCGCATTGAGGGTCATCTCCTTCATTATAGCGATGTCCAGCACGTCCGGTCGGTGGATCCCATTGTCGTGCGTCGGCTCGTCCGGTCCTAGTGCCTGCATCATGCTAGCGTGTCGTCCCAGGAATCTCAGCAGATCTCGTCCTAGAGTGTTGGTGACTCTGCTGTTCCATTCCTGTGACTTGGCGTTCAGGTCCCCTATGGCAAGCACCTGAGTCTGGTCCTGGAATATTGCATCCAGGTCCGTGTCCAGGATACGGCATCGGGGCGGCTGATAACAGGATACCACTTGAATGTCGCCATTTCGTGCCGTTGACACTACTACGGCGATGGCTTCTAGGTTTTCCATGTCCGGCAGTACGATTGGATGGTGGTCGATCGGCTTCTTTACCAGCAGGGCTACTCCTCTCATCGGCCTTGGGTCCAGCGTAGT